GAAAGCATTTTCCTGACTAACTTTATGGCTTATAATTACTGTTCTGTCCATAAATATAAACAAACAAGACAGAGAGGGGGAAAAAAAAACCAAGACCTTCTATGGCAAAAATCTATATGGCTGATATTTGATATTTACATTCCTCACAGCCAGCAGATACTATTGAGCAAAATGAAGATTAAATAAAGCATATAAATACATGAGCAATCAAACATGTGCGAGTTGTTTACTGTCTCATAGAACACTCGGTAATATACCTAAAACACATTAATTATATCAACTCTAGAAATTAGGTGGTGCACATCATGAGTTTGTTTTATAGTTTGGTTTATTCAGATTACAGCAAAGCACACTAGGGCTATCTGCCTAAGGGAAGGGATGCCTTCGTGGAGGACTTTTTAAGGGAACCTGGCTCGTATACACGTTACACATGGAGAAAACCACGAAAGCCCCCATGCAGCCAGCCCGTTCGCGGGATTCGAACCTCGGACCGAACTACCAGTGTTCAGCGACTTTACCACTCGGCCGCTAGTGGGCCTTTTAAAATAATGAAGGAAGGATTTAACTTACAGCGCACTAAAAGTCAATCTTTTTTAGAGCATAGTTTTTATGCTAGCCAGCTTCAGCTCAAATCTGTTAGTAGAATCCCTTTGTAGAAGATCTTTTAAAACTGGCTCGTATACCAGTTACAAATGGGGCAAACCAAGGAAACGTCATGTAGCCAGCCCGTTCGCGGCATTCTAACCTGAGACAGAACTACCAGTGTTCAACGACGCTTCGGCCACTAGTAGGCCCGTGCACTTAATTGGAAAGTGCAATTCATTATGTAAACAGACATGAAGGTGATAATCAGTTCTGCACTGTTTTAAGTAATCAAATGTTATAAATGCACAGCTGTTACATTTCTTATTATTTATTAGTCATGTTTTTATTACGTAGATCATACGTATGATATAATTATGAATTTACCCAATAACAAAATGTGTACACTCTTTAGTACTCAAATACTCATAAATTATTTTTCAACTGATTATTACATACCCATAATAATTTGCAAAGAACTGATAACTGTAGTTGCTGCCAATTACATAATCGTTATCTGAATTAAAAGCAACTTCAAATAAACTTCTTGGCAATGTTCACTTTTGTATTCCGCCCACCAGCGGCCGAGCGGTAACGTCGCTGAACACTGGTAGTTCGGTCCAAGGTTCGAATCCCGTGAACGGGCTGGCTGCATGGGTGTTTTCATGGTTTTCCCCATGTGTAACGTGTATACGAGCCAGTTTCCCTTAGAAAGTCCTCCACGAAGGCATCCCTCCCTTAAGGCAGATAGCCCTCGAGGGCTTTGCCGTAATCTAATAAACCAAACCAATCACTTTTGTATTCATACATACATATATATATACACATCTAATAAGTCATATATTTACATACAGATAGAGAGATGCGATGGTTTAGAAGTTGTTAATATATATTTATTAGTATTAATGTAATGAATAAGATTTATATTAATGAATGCATATACAAAAGTTATATTTATCATGAATAATAATAAATCCATAAATTTCCAATGTTTCAATATGTAGCATTTACAATAAAAAGTATAGTAGTTTCTAATGTATTTATAATCCGAAAAGTATTTCATTAATAACATGAAAATAATAGACAAATTTAATGAGTATTCTCATTATTACATAAGCTGTGCTTTTCTTTTTTATACATCTTTTATGCTGTTTAAAATGTGTCACTGATTATGCATTTAACAGTTTAAAAGGTAAGTAATTAGGAGAAAAGCCGCACATATACAAACGGATTTTAAAAAATTATTCAACTTAAATTTAAGAAATAAAATTCTATTATATAACAGTGATAATACACGATCAGCACGAAATACGACAAATTTGGCGAACTTTTGGCGACGAACAATTTGTAAACAAATCCGAACTGCAAGAACGTAGTAAATACTGTCAATTCTGAAATTTCCACGATTATATATTTAATGAATATATAAACATTTAAAAAATGACTCAGGCAGTTGTATTACAACAAAACAGCAATAATTAAGTCGGCCTCTATTTCCACCGTCCATCACTTCACAGTGAGAGCCATCGCCATATTTAAAGTTACCCGTGATCCTTCAGAAGCAGAACTTTCGTCTGATTGGTTGAACGTTCGAGGAACACGTCTCCAGCCGGGATCTTAGAAGGATCTTAGAAGAGCTCCTAAATTTTTAAAGATGTTTTTCAGAAAATATTCATTTATTTAAGAAAAATTTTCGCGAATATCCTCTTCATTGTCTCGTTCTCAAAACCGAAAGTTCTTCTGAAGGTCTTATCTTCCTTGCAATCTTTTACAACACCAAGACGGAACATTCAGATAAGTAGAACTTCTTTTCTCTAAGCTAAATCAAATATCTGTCACTAAAGTACCTTTAAATTCATTTATTTATTATGATCATTATTATTATGCTCATTTTATTATGTTCTGGCATTAAGTACTTAATAATTGCTTTAAATAATGTGGTTCCTTTTTTGTTTTTGTTCTTTGGTTACCATCTCGTAGGGACGCTATCCTTATCAGTAGCCCTTATCGGTAGTGTAGTCTGTTAGCACTACCCATTGGGGCCCCTTTGAGGAATTTTTCGAGAGGGAAAAAACACGATCTTGGGCCTCAATGAATGTATAGATTTGTAGTTTTTGCTCCTTTAATCTATATTTCCTATCTATTTAAATTAAAAGCATATATTAATACAGTGTGCCTCAAATTGATAAAATAGTACACATATAATAAATTATGACCATTAACTTAATAAATAAATAAAATGCTTATTTTTTAAAAATTAATTAATATTTAAATAAAAAACTCTGTAATTTTTTACTTATTTATTTTTTTTGCTGATGTATTCTCGCCTTGTTTTAGATTTATGATTTTATCTGATGTGTTTTTCTGAGTATATGAATACGTTGGAAACCGCAATTGATGATGTTACTTAAGTTAATGTATAATTTTGCATGATATTATATGCATCTTGATCTTATGCGTCTTCTGTTACTGTGTCTCAAGGTAGAGGCTAACATATTGCTTTCCATGTTAAAAAATAAAAGTTTAATTTAAAGATTTTTAAATTTTAGTTTCCCTGTTATAGCAAAAGTTAGCTTCTAAACTAGACTGTTATGTGACTGGACCCCCCAATATTTATATTTTATTATTAATTTTCCCCCATCTTCACATCTATTCAGCTTTACAAAACACACTCATTACACGCACCTGGAAGACTCTATTTAATGTAAATGATAACAACTTCTTTTGACTACACTCATAGACACAATCGTTTTATATATATATAAAATTCTCTTACTTCCTTTCCTTTTCTTTCTATAGGCCCTTTTTTTCTAAATTATAAATATAATTTTTTTTTTCTCTTCATTACTTTTGGGCCACTTATTTTTTACTTTATTTTGTCCCATCTTTTCTTCCTGGCCTTTCAAACTCGTATAAAATATACGAAGTTCCTTTTTACTCTCCTCTGAAATACGAAATTGCCCCCTTTCTATATACCCGGGCAATACGTCTCCAAAAATATACGTATAATATATTTTGGTGAAATAAGGGTATGGTATTTTTTGCACGTTACTTTTACGAAATTTATACGAATGAAAAAGGCTGAAGTTACTGTTGACTCTTTATCGTTATTTTCCACACGTTGTTTTTACGAAAATTGCACGAATCCGAATGTACTGAAAAAAACTACCGCCATAAGGGCATATTTTATTCGTCACTTTTACTCATATTATACGAATCCGAATGTTCTCAAAGAAACTACTGCCTTTATGGTATATTTCATTCGTCACTTTTACGGATATTATACGAAGTCTAAAAAAATTGAAAATGAAGTTTACTAATTTCAAATATTTAGTGCATTTTTGGCATTTCACTTTGTTTTCCTTTTCCACGAACATGAAAAAAGGGGCATTCATATATGAGGCTAAAATATTTCTTTGAAGTTTGATATGTGGACAAAATCTTTGCGTGCATTTTTGCAAAAAAATTATATTTTCTTAATTTAAAGATCTCCAAAATAACTTATTTTTTCATATCAAATTTGTTATTTTTTCATATCAACACTTACATTAATTTACACAATTTAATTTCTTTTATGAAAATCCTATTACCCATTTAACTGGAATAAGCTGTATATTAAATTTGTGTACTTACTGAGTTTATTTCAATACTCGCCTTATTTTATTTAGCAAATGTGGGTAATTAAATTGGAATAAGACTAGCAAATCTTTCATGTCGAGGAATAGAATAATAAATAGAGCAGAAGATGCTTGAAAATGTTTAACTTCTTGAACAATAGTTTAATGTAGACCAAAGGATCATTAATTATAATCAAATATATACTAATATTTTTATTAATTAATAATAATAATAACTCTACTAAATTGCAAGCTGAATCCTGATATTTTGCATATATTTCAGCTCCTTTAATCTTTGTTATAAAAATCACACGAGGCTAACATTTTTTAATTTTGTTTAATGTACGGGGAAAATGATATAGCGATTTTAATAATTTTTATATGAGGAATAAATAATAAATAATGTAAATAAAGAATTATATTATATTTTCCCTGAAACAGTTAAAGGCATTCTTAATATGGAGATCTACAGAATAAAGTACAAGGGTCCAGTTAAATGAACTCAAAATTTACATAGTTAATTTTACGCTAACTTATAAAAAATAACCGGATTTACGATTATACACTGAGCATGCGCATACCAACGAGATAATATATGAAGTCGTTGGCGCATACACAAACATTTCTATTTTTCGTAGAAAAATTGAATTATTACTTTAATACAGAGATGCTTTGAATATAAATTTATATAATGCAAAAGTATGTTTATTTCATATGCTAATTTAGAGGCTTTCTTAATATGTTTAATTATAAAGAAAAAAAAAAAAAAGTGTTGCAATTCTTGTTCACTGACCAATGACAAAGTAGACACTTTCTACTTCCGGTTGTGGCAAGATATTTGTGAAGTCAGCAATGGCGGTCGAAAAGAATGGTAATGTCGCAAAGAATACTGTTTGTTCGTGGCGTTTGTGACTGAATCCATCGATGTTGCTAATTATTTGAAGAAAGTAAGTGAATATTTTATATTTTCAGTGTTTAATACTCGTACTTTCTTCACCTATATAAAATTTTATAAATAGCGTCTGTGTAGGAAATGTGATTTTCCATGTGTTGTTCTTATGTGTACGTGCCTAATGATTCATTTTCAGGATTTGGTACGGGTTTTCATCCGCAGAGAACCCGTTGGCGCTGTTGCATTTTTACTCGCCAAGCTCGCGTTTCATCGGCGATGAGCCGAGCCGCAAACGTGATATTTTGTAAACGTGATTTTTAGTGCATGTAAATTCAAGTTAGCAGACAAAACAATATATTAAGCATATGGTAGTAAAAATTCACAGATAATAAGCATGTAGATGTAAAACTAACTCGTTAAGCGTGATATACGAAAATTGTATTAAATTCAAGTTAGCACAGAAAAGAATATATTAAGTATAAGACAATATATAAGGAAATAAAACGGAAATAAAAATTTATAACGGAAATAAAAATTCATTTGAAAAATATAAGTTAGTGGGTTTTCATCCGCAGAGAACCGGTTGGCGCTTCGGGAAAGAACCAATTGGCGCCGTTGCATTTTTACTCGCCAAGCTCTCGTTTCATCGGCGATGAACCGAGCCGCAAACGTGATATTTTGTAAATGTGATTTTTAGTGCAAGTAAATTCAAGTTAGCAGACAAAACAATATATTAAGCATATGGTAGTAAAAATTCACAGATAATAAGCATGTAGATGTAAAACTAACTGGTTAAACGTGATATACTAAATTCAAGTTAGCACAGAAAAGAATATATTAAGTATAAGACAATATATAAGCATTTATAACGGAAATAAAAATTCATTTGAAAAATATAAATTAGTATTAATGTACTGAAATTAACCGGTTAAACGTGATAAACGAAAAAAATTTGTCTTAAATTCCATAATATAAAAAACAATATATTCTTACACCAGCAGTGTTTGCTTGCTAATTTTTGATGACCATGGTGATGCATCAAACTACTCTGTCATCTTAGATAATCGATGATTTTTTTATTTCATTTAATCATCTATTTATGTCGCACCAGCCATCCTCTGAAAGGTTATTGTTAAAATTTAAGCCAGAAATTGATTTATTCTCATTTTAGATGACAAAAACCAATAATAAAAATAAAAGCATTACTTAGTTATTTAAATTGCTGGTTCTTAGAGCTGTTAATAATTAAGAACACAACGTGAACAGCCGTGTTACAAATTAGCATTCACCCTCACGCCGTATTTTCTTCCTTTTCATCCCGAACCGAGAACCGGCATCTATCTACGAAAATATTTCTATCCATTCATTATTAAAAAATTCAGAAAAAATAATAATATAAATCTGCAAATGCGAACAACGACAGTGATAATTCAACAAACTGAACCCAAGAGGAATGGTTGCAAACTTCGAACAAGCGAATATGATAAATGCGCTGGGTTACCAGGTTTGAACTATTATCGCCAAAGTTGCCGATGTTTACATTTACCGGGTTCTCTGCGGAAGTGCTTCCAAGTTAGTATTAATGTACTGAAATTAACCTGTTAAACGTGATAAACAAAAAAAATTTGTCTTAAATTCCAGTTAACACAGAAAACAATATATTCCTTTCACCAGCGGTGGTTTGCTAATTTTGATGACCATGGTGATGCATCAAACTATTCTGTCATCTTAGATAATCAATAATCTTTTTTATTTCAACTTAATCATCTATTTATGTCACACTTGCCATCCTTTGAAAGGTTATTGTTAGAAAAGCATTAACAATATATTATCTTGTTAAAATTTTACGCCAGAAAATTGATTATTCTCATAATTTAGATGACAATAACCAATAATAAAATAAAAGCATTACTTAATTATTTAAATTTTCTGGTTCTTAGAGCTGTTAATAATTAAGAACATAACGTGAACAGCCGTGTTACAAATTAGCATTCACCCCTCCCGCCGTATTTCTTCCTTCATTCATCCCGAACCGAGAACCGGCATCTATCTACGAAAATATTTCTATCTATTCTTTGTTAAAAAATTCAGAAAAAATAATAATAAATAAGAGAAGAATAATATAAATCTGCAAATGCGAACAACGACAGTGATAATTCAACAAAATGAACCCAAGAGGAATGGTTGCAAACTTCGAACAAGCGAATATGATAAATGCGCTGGGTTACCAGGTTTGAACTTTTATCGCCAAAGTTAGCGATGTTTACATTTACCGGGTTCTCTGCGGAAGTGCTTCCTGTTTGTATGTGTCTCATCTTTTTATAGTTATATTATTTTTACTCAAACGTTTTAATATTTATTTTAAAGCATACTGTAATTAAGCAGGAAATAACTTTTAATGGAAAAAGAAAGGCAATATTAACATGATTAATTGTTCAGAAATCTGTTCTGGAAATATTATCTACCTTATGCCAAAAAATAAAGCCTGTAACTTTCATTTATTTATGAAATTCAAAATTTTTTATTTGCTTAGTGTTTTCCGTAAAAATAATTTAATTTCTTAAATTTGCTTTAATATATAATCTTTAACTCAAAGACATTGTGCTATTAAAACAGGAAATTTTATGCAATAGAAACACAGGTACTTTGTTCCAAATCTTTGTTCATTTTATTTTACATATACTGAATTTTCATGCACTTGTAATTACTGAAATATATCAAGTTTTCTTCAAGTCCTTTCATGAATGCATTTCTTTTTTGTTTGTTTGATTTTGTCGTTTTAAAAGATCTGCCATAGTTAAAGAAAGAAAATAAAGTAAGAATGCTTTACTTTCAGTTTTGAATAAATTTATTACTATTTACTGCAGCCTCAGGTTTTTCTAAAAATAATTTTCGATGTCAAAACTTGATAGTTATGTCGATTATTAGATTTGCATGAAAAAATTTATTGAAAAGTTAGCATTTGATCTAAAATACCTTAATTTATTTGAATTATATTTTACTAAATCATGTACGAGGGCTATCCAGAAAGTAGATTACGTTTTGGAATAAAAAAATAAACAAAGTATAGGAAACAAATTTTATTATATACAGATGAAAGCCACACTCAAATACTACTTTTCTACATAGTCACCATACAAATTAAGGCATTTATCGTAGCGATGTACGAGCTTGGAAATTCCTTCGTCGAAAAATTCGGCCGCCTGCGCCTTCAACCACTTCGTTACCTCTTCTTGCAGCTGTGCGTCGTCATCAAAACGCATTGATTGCAATTTCGTTTCACAGTTCACATGTTTCACCCATGTTTCGCCACCAGTAACGATGCGATCGAGTAAAGAGTCACCATCCTTATGGTAAGCGTCCAAAAAGTTCAACGCTGCAGCCATATCGCTGATTTTTGTGGTCCTCTGTCAAGATTTTTGGAATCCATCTTGCACAAAAACTTGTGGTAACCAAGCTTTTTTCGCTGATGATTTCGTGCAACAAACTTCGCGAAATTTGTGGAAAACTCAAAGAAAGTTCCGTTATTGTGAAATTTCGATTTTCACGGACTTTAGCATCGACTTTTCGAGAAGTTCGGCGGTCACTATGCTGGGTCTCCCACTTCGATCTTCGTCGTGAACATTGGTTCGGCCATTTTTGAAATCTTATGACCCACTGACGCACTCCACCTTCAGTGATAATGTTGTCCCCATACACTTCACGAAGCTGCCGATAGATTTCTATCGGTTTACAGTTTTTTGCAGTCAGAAACCTTATTACTGAGCGCACCTCGCGGGATTTTTCAATTAACGCAGACATTCAAACCGTCACAGTATCTGAACGGAGCACAGCACAAACCTCTCACTAGCACGGCTAGATGCAGACTGAGCTGCGCAACGCTCTGACCCCAAGATGGCCGCGCTAGCCCCGCCCCTAGCGGACACAGACGGAAACGTAATCTACTTCCTGGATGGCCCTCGTATTTTGATATAACTAGAAAGTTAAAAAAATGAAAATTGTAAATGTTCAGAAATGCGTATATAAAACCAAGAAATTGTTTATATTTTTGTTGCTTTTTTCCTTGTATATTAAATATATATATATTACAGTCTGGGGAGTCAGCACCCTGCTGAATTGTAGTAAACAAGATGTCCAATCTACTAGACCATCAAAGACGCAGATTTGGATTTTCTATTTCATAGTTATTGAAATCATAATGGTATGTTTGTTCAAATTAGTACCTTTTATGAATGTGATAAAAATAAATTCTGATAAGCTAAGAAATTATTTATTTTCTATTAATTATGAACTGTAAATAATGTAGCCAATTTTCTTCATAGTATTTACTAAACATTTTTTTAAAAAAGGGAGGTAGTCTTATTTATACAATTCTTGCACAGTGAGATACCAAGAAATAAAACATTTCAGAATTTTCACTCAGTATATCTTGATGTGTAAAATCGTGTTCAACACCATATTACTTTTTCACAGGAAAGTAATTTTATTGATCTAACATCTGCATAAATCAAACTTTTTTAAGAATGATTACAGTTTCTAAGCTAACTGAAAATTCTCTGATTTAGAAAATATATGTTTAATGTAGCATTAGTTTTCCATGGAATAAGAAAAGGTTTTAAAAATGTTCAGTTTGTTAGAGGGAAATAATATAAATGAGATTGTCCTGATATAGTTTCAGCTGGAAATGAAACTGAATTTTCAGATAGTGAAGATGAAATCTCTGCATTTAAGAATTCTAATAAAACTGATTAATGTAAATCCTCTTCTGCATTAAGAATTCTAATAAAACTGATTAATGTAAATCCTCTGCATTTAAGAATTCTAATAAAACTGATTAATGTAAATCCTATGATTCATGTAGGTATTCTTCTGTTATCAGGACCAGATTCAGAAATGTGTGTCTATATGCATGCATTTTTAAATGTAGGTGCTCATGTGTGCATGTGTATATTCTTTATGTATGTATGTGTATACTCATACACATATATGTGCATACAGCATATACATGCTTACTATCTACAGTGCAACCTCGAGATACGAGTTTAATTCGTTCCAGCATTCAACTGGTGTAGCGAATTTCTCGGATCTAGAAACAAGCTTCCCCCATTGAAAATAATGGAAATTCAGTTAACCCGTTCCACACCCCAAAAATATAAACATTTAATATCAAGTCAATTTTTCCTAATAAATAACACTGGTAAAATAATATAACCATAGTTTAACTTTGTTACCAACATTTTAACTCCTTCTCATTAATCCACACCAACAAAAGCTTCTCAAATCTAGGAGTACTTTTATGGTGCTTGGAAGCAACGATAATTCCTTTGGATACATCAAGTTTCTTAATTTTCTTCCTGTTTTCTTCAGAATAGTGTAGATTTTCGATGTTGAAAGGCAAGTCTTCGCCAATTCCATCACCATGCTTATGTTTATCTATGATTTCTTTCTTGATATCGACGGCCATGGCCTCCTTATTTTTCTTTGCAGCACTATCTGAGGCAACAATCTTCTGGTAAGGCATCTTGAAATAATTAATTTCAAGTTAAATGTCAAAGCAAATAACTTGCAATTGCACAAACACGTATGTAAAAGAACACTGAATGATCTGATGAGGTGATTCCCTGAGTTGAGCCGGATAGGGAAATGGCGCCACCCATACCAACAGCCTGGCTCATTGCTCGTTACTCGAGTCAGTGCTCGTATTTTTGCTCATACTTTCCTCATATCTCGAGTTTCATTGTACACTTTCTGAATCCCGTCCTAATAACAGAGGAGTACCTTTGCAGTATTGCAACGAACTAGAATAATTATTGTGTTAAATATGTGGAAAATGCATGCTTAAAGTACTGTTATTTTCTAAAAATATTCTGTATGTCTATTTTTTACAAGAAGAAAAAATAGCTAAAAGCTGTTTATTTATTTATTAGTCCAAAGGGGCTTTGTCCCTAAAGGACTATTGTTTTTGTTTTGTGTTGGTTCACTATAAATTCATTATAATGGTTTCACTTTTCAAACAGTTCCCACCAATTGTTAGAGTCCCTAGTGTGGGATTAATACTCTCTATCTTTGTGCCCTCTATAACCTATGTTAGGGTTAACCTGTATAACTTACAAGGATTGCCAGTTTAGGCGAGATATCTAGGTAGTCATCATAATACGTACCTTATTTTTTATTATTTTAAAGTTAAATTGAAAGTAATAAACTAGTTTTGAAGAATGGAGTTAAACTAGATTTGCATTCAACTCTGGTTTATTGTGTTAATGATGTTTTGCTGTAACAAATATGAATTTTTTGTTTAAGTATAATAATTTAAAATGTTTTTTCTAGAAAATGAAGTACTGTCACTAAATCGTATTGGATATGTTGCAAGGTAGTTTTCTATTCTACATTAACTCAATCTTTATATCCTGTTACAGATATATTGGCAGAAATAATGAAAACCTGGCATTGAAAACTGCAGTTTGGCAGCTCATTAATAATCTTCACATATTGAATATGAATAATTTTGACAATTACCGGTATTTTTGATAGTATAAAATTAGGTAAGAAAGCAGCTTTATTTTAGCACCGATTTAAATACAACTCTCTTAATTTCGAAGGTGATTCTGCACACACAGGTCCTGTGTAATAGAAGGCTTGCCAACGGCCCAGCGGTAAAGTTGCTGAACACTGGTAGTTTGGTTCGATGTTCGAATCCCACGAACGGTCTGGCTGCATGGCCGTTTTCGTGGTTTTCCCCATGTGTGACATGTATACGAGCCAGTTTCCCTTAGAAAGTCCTTCACGAAGGCATTCCTCACTTAGGCAGATAGCCCTATTGTGCTTGCAGTAATCAATAACCTAAAACAAACCTGTTTCAGATGTATTTATGTTACTAAATAGTAAAACTTTAAAACTAAACTGGATGGACAAACAGCCCTTAGAGAGCCATGCTGGCAATACTTTGATATCTACTTCTAATTGTAGCTCTGTGGTGTTTGTGCATAAATGGTTAGCTTGTTGCAGGCCCCCCAGTATTAAGTTCCCAATGAACTGGTACTAATTTTATCGACCCACTCAAGGGATGAAAGGCTGTTTCAACCTTCCAGCCTGGGAATCAAATACCGACCTCTGGTGCTCTGCGTGACGCACTAGCCACTGTGCTACCGAGCCTCCCTAAAATAGTAAATTATGAAAATTATAAAAAAATTCAAAATATCAGGTACTTTTCCGTTTCGCCGGCGCAAATCTTGCAAGCAGACTTTATTGGCGACAACACACAGTATACACATAAAAAATGTTTAACAAATGTTAGTTCTAAGAATTTTTATTTTAAAGGCTAAACATTTTAATATCGTTTAAAATTTGTAAATGATAATAAATAAAGACAATAAATTGTTGAAAGACATTAATTGTATTTGCAAAAAGAGATTAATTTAAGAATTTACTATGTTTCATGGTACACATTCTGATTCGCCTTTTAATCACATGACCCAAGTGATTCATCTCATGTTAAACTACGCTAATTCTCTCAGTAATTATCACATTAATTCAAGTTAAATCTTAATTTGGAATACAAGTTTAAATCAAGAATTATTTCATTTCATATGAATAGCTACTCAGAAATTATGTAAAACCGCAGTGCTTTACTTTGCTAGTGTATTCTCATTAGAATTAATGAATTTAACCCTTGATTTTGCCTTTTCTATATTTTCGTGTGAGCGTGTGATTGCATCCTAATTGATTTAATTACCGTGAATGGCCTTAGCACATAAAATTGAACTATCTGGTAAAAATTTTATGTAATTGTATCCCAGTATTGAAAGAAACATTCAGCCTGATAGAAATAGCTGCGACGTGTTTGGAAAATGAAACGTAAAAGGTTACCAGCAAGGATATTCTGTTTGGCTCGTTTGTACCATTTTGGCGACTTATCGCTTGCACCAGCAAATGGAAAGTACCAATATTGGTTTGACAAAGGTAAGATGTATTGAATTTAATAAGTTGGAAATACTGTCTGTCTTTCCATGAATAAAAAATAATTTCAAATAAATTTCTTTTTCAGTTTTTCATGTTATTTGTTTAATGTTATTGTAATCTGATTTATCATATTTAGTCACATGTTCCATCCCTCTTTGCACTATAGTATATAATTCAAAGACTTATCGGTTTCAGCAATATTTTTTTACCAGTATACATTTTTACCATAACTCTGTTTCTAAATCATATCCTGAAAAATTAAGGAGTAAATACAAAAAAGGAAAATATGCAAGTAATAATGGCATTTATGTTGTTTAGGTCGAATTTTGTACTAGATGAAAAGTTATAAAATCTATTAGCTTTTCTTTTTTAAATTGAGATGTTCTTTGAAACCCAAATGGTTAAGCTTCCTGAACTGGTACTTTGATCAACTTCTTTCCTAATAATAATCCAGCTGCTACAGATTACTCAATTTCTGCCATGTGTAAGGTAAACAGTATTAGCTTTTTTTAATATATCTTTTACAACTATTCATATGGTAGATTTCTTCATATTTTGCTTAATGGAGTCATCCTGCTAATTAAGAATTTATTAAAGTTAATATGTTAAGTGTTGGGTGTATAATTCATTTTAAGTATGTGCAAGCAATGCATACATTAACAGTATGTAAAATTATGCTTTGGGTATCAAATCAGAAATTTTTTGGGCTTTTTTAGAAAATTTATTAATGATTATACCATATTAATATTGGTAAAAAAATTCTGTGGCTTTTATATTTTTTATATATTTTAAATAGCAATGATATGGTGATGTAAAAGCTTCATGTGGATCATCATTAATGTTACGTGGGAATTTTATTTATTTACTAAAGAAATATTCAAGCCACAATTAATTTTTTTTTCACTGGATATTGCTATGCAGCAAATATTTCTTGCAGAAACAATTTTTATTTGCCACGAATTTAGTTGTGAAGCATAACCTATTTGAGACAATTTTTAATTTAAATTGTTTGAAGGAAGACCATTTAGTTGCTATCATTCTACGTGGCTTTAACTTTTTTATGGTATTATAATTTTATTGTTATTCAGCTTTCTGTTTGCTTAGAATGCAACAGAATGTAGACTTGAAATATTTATATTGCAACTGAGATGCCATTGTTTATAATAAAAAGATTTTTGTTTGGAGAAGAATTTCTGAAATATTTGATTGTGTGTTGGTTTTTTTTATTGAAATGTGTAAAATAGTTGTTTGCATATACGCATGTAATGGCATGTAGATGTTTATGAAGTATTCTGTTATGTGTATATGGTGTTGTGATTAGTTTTCTGCTACTCTTTATTTAAGAAAAAGTTTTGTAAGAAAGCGAATATTCGTACTATATGTAGGAGTAGTAAAATGGAAAGGCTAATGCAATACAATAATAAAAATTAAGTTTTTTCGTGTAACTTAAATACAAACATAGCCATTGAAGACTTTCTTAACTTGCAGTTCTAAACAGTCTTTAGGTATTTTTACTTGAAATTATAGGCATTGTGTAAGCTATCATTAAGTTTACTGGTGATAGTTGAACTAAATTTTTAACTACTAAAATGTAGATTTTTAAATATAAATACTCAGTGCATTTTATTGCATCTTTTAATACTTAACTATATTTAAAAACTGAAAACATCTGAAGTGTGAAATTATTCCAATTTTCTTTTTCTGTTTAGGAGCTGTTCTCAAACATGAGGACAAGAATTCACTTTACAAAAATCGAGCAGGTATTAAAGACAGCGAATTATAGAACAAATATGGCAAGCTGAATGAAATTTATGTTGAATTGTATTATTGAATTGGTTTAATATTAGTTTTTTTATTGTTTATCAGTAATTGCAGTTTTTGAATACCTGTAAAATAAACCTAATTCTTAAATTAATTTCATGGGTATTTCTTTTGCAAATATTACTGTTCATAATACCTCAAACAACTTGAAATTTGATATTGTTAATTTATGGGATATGTTATAATTTTTAATTTAATAACTCTTGTCATCATATGAGCATAATCTAAAATCAACATTGGGCAACAAATAATAAAAAATTAGCCCAATCTATTGCTTTCTTTTGTCCAGTTGCCTCCTTTTTAAATAATTTAATACCATAAAGCTTTTGATGGAAAAAAAATAATGTACATTTATAATGATTATAGAAAAAAGTCACATGGATAAACATTAAAAACTTCAATATTCTAAACAATAATTTTTAAAATTTATCTGGTATATAGATAAAAAAAGACCATATTTGGTAAATTGAATTTGCATAATTTTTATGAAATTAAACAGTTACATTGTAAAAAAGGGAACTTTTTAAAAATGCCTTGATAAAGCATTTCTTGGTAGAGGTGAACTTTTAGTACTGACTAATATTTATAAGATTTTAACTGAGAAAGACAACAATAATAGATACAATACTACAAGATTGACTGAAATGTAAAATTTTACATATCATAATTATGTCTTAATTAAAACAGAAGTTACTCAATTAACTTACATGCAAATAATTTTTTCTTTACATGTTTGGAATAAACTTATTTTTAATAAATAAATATATATATTTGGGTATTATCTGAAGATATGAATGCAATTTTGTGACATTAAACATTCATCTTCAAGAAAAATAACCAAAAAGTCAAATTCATAACTATTGGAAAAGGTAAGTTTTCTACAATTTCCTGGTTATATTTAAGAATTTTAAAATTTAGCACACTCATTCAAATAATCTAAATATATGATGTTTTCGTTTGCACTACAATCGTTTACTGAATTTGGTATTAACTATATTGTACTTAGATAGAAATTAACGTAGATATTCCCTGTATTTTACGGTACAAAAACTTATATTTGATAATAATTGACAACATCTTCCCTATCTTTTATTTGCTATGCGAATGACTTTGGTAAACATTTAGTCCGATGTCTTCTCTTTACTG